AGAGAGTTCTTTTTCTGGCCAGGGCTGGTCTCCTGGGTGACGTTCTCCCAAGGGCAGGTGAGTGGCAGGTAGCTTTGGTGCAGGGGCACCTGCTGCTCCCAGGAGCCGGGAGGAAGGGGCTGGAGGAAGCACCTTCTCGGGGGCTTCACGTCTCTCGTGATTTCTTCCCTTCCCTCCTTCACGACAAACGTCTAGCTGATCTCAGTCTTCCCCCTGACTGAGAACTGAGATCCCATGTTGCTTTTCCCAAGAGTAAGGCTATATTTCTAATTGTGGAAAACGATACCTCTTCCTAAAATAATTGCAGATGTCTTTACAGTGGTGGGCAAGGCCTGCGTGTGCGTGTGTGCGTGTGTGTATCTGCATGTTCCTTCCTTAAAGTTCCAGAGTGTGCTCAGGAGGGTGTGGGATAGTGGACATTCCATGGCACATGGAGCTGTGATGACTTAGGCAAGAGACCCTTCTCCTGGTGGCGTCAGTTCCCCCATCTCTAAAATGGGGATAACAGCAGTTGCTACCTCACTGGGCTCTTACAGAGAGTAAATGAGTAACATTGGAAAGCACCCAGTCAAGGGCATGGCGCAAGATGGCTCCGAACATGGTAACTAGCTATTTTTATAAAAATTGTTACTCTTGTCTTTGGGGCAGCCAGTGGCCAGACTCAGGAGAAGGCTGTTCGAGGGCACGTCCCTGGCCTGCTGGCTCATAGAGATGATTTATCAGCATGTTCTCTCTGTAGCTTCATCTTACCCCTGGCCCCGGGACTAATGGTAAATCCAGTCCCCTCCTCCCTCTGTAGCAGCTGCCTGCCTGCTGACCACATCCAAAGCCCACTTGTCCATGTTTTCCCTCTTGCACGAGAGAGGCCCACTAGAGAGGACAAATCAATAGTTCAATTAAGAAATGGGCTTTACTTTGTTCTTGCTTGGAAAACTTCTCTCTCATGAGTCTTGATTTTCCCTCCTGCATGTTGCAAGGTACAGAAGTGACTGCCCAGGTCCTTGTTGGCTCACAGAATGGCCCCGTGGTGAGTGGTCGTTGTTGACATCCTGTCTGATTCTCTTCCCTGGGCACGGAACCTCATGCCCCCTGGTAGGGGATCATGGGGAGGAGTGTCCTTCTCAGACCCACAACGTGTCCTCAGCACTGTTCAAGCCCACGTTGCAGGAAGAGCATTTGGTTGAGGCCTTCAGTGCCCCAGACACCATGCCAGATGCCAGCTTTTCTTACCACTAATGATAGCAGTATTATTACTGCCCTGGAAGGTATGGTCATCCTGGGAGGGGCTAGTGGGGAGGGATATGAGGTCTCAGAGAGGCTAAGTGACTTTTCTCAAACCACCCAGCAGTCAAATGCCAAAGCAGGGATTTACACCAAGTTTAAGGGTCTGGTTAAGCTCATTTTCAGTATAATCTTGTGTTGTTTTTGGTTGGGAGTAAAGGAGGTAGAAATCTGTGCCTAGTATGTGACTGAAGTGTTAATCTTTTCTTCTTCTTCTTCTTCTTTTTTTAAAAGATTTTTATTTATTTATTTGACAGAGAGAGAGATCACAAGTAGGCAGGAGGCAGGCAGAGAGAGAGAGGGTCAAGCAGGCTGCCCGCTGAGCAGAGAGCCCGATTCGGGACTCAATCCCAGGACCCTGAGATCATGACCTGAGCCGAAGGCAGAGGCTTAACCCACTGAGCCACCCAGGCACCCCAGTGTTAACCTTTTCTTGAAAACGGTATGTTATCAAGGTCCATGACTTAAAGATCATTGGCAAGTCTGTGGAGACTTTTAGAAGATGATGGGGAGATTCTGGGCCTTTGAAAACTTGACTTTGATTTAGAAGAGGCATGGGGGACAGAGGCATCATTAATTCCTTACTAGTGTGATGTCAAGATGGGCCATTCTTCTGATTTCCTAACTCTGGGCTAAATCTGTTGGCACATTCAGCATGTGAACAGTGATAGATATACATCCTATAACATTTCTGGGGGTCAAGGTCCTTATAAGTGGCTCTAGGCTAGAGGCCATCTCTTGGGTCCAACTACTGGAACACTCCTAAGCTGGCATCTCCTCAGATCAGGGTGGGCTGGCGATCTGTGTAGACAGCACTCTGATACCTGTAATTGAAGACTTCAACATCTCATTCCCCAATCAGTGACCACTTAGGGTCCCTTGACTGTAATCTTTGCAAGATTGGGGACCACATATGTTTTGTTCACCAGGGTTCATAGAGCAATACCAGGCATATCACAGGCACTCAGTAAGGGTTTGCTGAGCGAGTAATAACCAGTAGGCAAAGTTGATGGTCTGCTGTCTGTCCCCTACTGCACTCCTTCTTATATAAGCAGATATCATAGGCTGCTTGAAGTCATGCTGGGCTGTGAAAACAGGACTGGCTACCAAGAGAAAAAGAAAGACAGAGAGAGAGAGAGAGAAGATAGAAACCCAGCCTAAGGAGGATGTACACATGAATTAAAGAGAGAATTGCCCAGCATAAAGTTGGAATAACATCTTCGAATCTTCCCAATGTACGTTTCCCAATTTCTTCAGACCGCATTATCAGAAAACTGGGGAGAAGACAGTAACACTGTTCTCCTCTGCCAAGAATTGATATGTAGTTTGATTAAGATAATTGTCAAATTCAAACAGCCAAGAAATGAAAGAAGCATGACTTGGATCCACATCCAACAGCAAGTTACCTGACTTTGGGCAGTTAGAATTTTCAAAAAAGAAAATTGTATGTTTACTTTAGTAGTAACTCTTTTCTTTTCCCATCAAAATGTTTTGAACTGCTTCCATGACCACAGCTGTGCTGGAGAGAATTTTATGGGCTTGTGAGGTGAGTTTAGAGGACAGACAGTGTGAGTCCCCAACTCCATAGTCACAGGGAGGGCACCTGCCGTTGGTCCCTCTCACCTGTCCCTCCGTCCTCGCTGCCTCGCGGGGAAGCTCTGGAGGTCCCAGGCAACAGTGCCAAAGTAGAATTTAATAGCAGTCTTTGGTTTTCATTGTATTTATTTTGATGTTTACCAGCTGTTTATGGAGGGAACGCTGATTTCATAATTAAGCTCTGACATGAAGTTTCTTCTAGGCTTTTAGTTTACAAAGTCTCACGGAAAGTCATGGTCTGGGAGGAGGGGGGATAAGGCAAAATTGACTAACTTGGTTCTTAAAAGGCCAAAGCTGGGAAGCACCCCATTTCCTGCTTGAGAGCTGTGTGTGTCTGACTTTAGGGCTCCTGTGCATGCCCTGGGGGGGTTATTAAAAATGAAGATTCTGATTCAGTAGATCTGGGCTAAGTCCCAAGATTCTGCATTTTTCATAAGTTTCTTGCCTGTGAGGCGGATGCCCTGGCCCCTTGTGAATCAAAGGTTGACCACAGGTCAGTGGCATTGGCACCACGGGGCAGCTGGCTGGAGATGCCAGCTCTCTGGCCCCTCCAGGGACTGGCTGTTCTGTAAGCACAAGACTTCTGCCCTGGAAGCTGGGTTTCCATTGCCTGGCTTCCAGACCACCTCCAGAGAGCGTGTGGAAGGGGGTTTCCAGGCCTGCGATGTCCTTTCGTGGTAACCACCCTATACTGTCTCCAGAACTTTCCATCTCACCGCGGGCCCATCTCTTCCCTCGTTTGCTTTCTGAGACCCAAGTCCTCTGCGTAGCTGCCTCACTGTCTGGATTCTCGTAGGCAGACATTGGTGGCTGGAGCGTGGCTGGAGAAGGGACATCTATCTTTCTTGGCTCTGCTGCTCCTAGAGGATATAATTTGCTTGATAGATGCGTTCTGGCTGCAGCTCCTCGGGGTGGGGTGTGGAAGTGTGCAAAAGGCTGGGTGCATGAGGCTTTAAAAAATAGCCAAGAGAGTTATAACATCTGGGGGACAAGCTGGCTGAAGAGGGATGTGCTCAGTGGTGTGGGCAGCTGCGTGGGGAAGGCGTGGAGATCAAGGTCCTGGGGTCTCTGAGAGGGGAGTTGTGGGCCCATTACAATGATGACAACCGGGGGTTGGCATATCATTATTTTAAACCCAAGTCTGTCATCTTAAACAGCCTCTCTCTGGTGGGACCTTGCTATATCCCTGCCAAGAAGGGGCCTCCATTCCCTTCTTGAATCTGGGCTGACCGAATGACTCACATGTCACCAGATGACACCACAAGACCTCCGAGACTAGGTCCGAAAAGACATTCAGCCTCTGCCTGGCTCTGTTGGACCCCCATTCTGAACTGAGTTCGCCAGCTGGAGAACTGGGCAGGTGGATCAGTCTGACAAAGCAAACCATACTCCTGCGGGCTCTGTCCCCCCGGCCCCCTCTCCGCCCCATTTTACTCTTGGTGGTGTTTGCTTTCCTTCCGCCTGGGTGTTGTGGGCTTCCGGGGTGTGGGAGGGGTTGGGAGGGTGATGAGAGGAGGATGTGGGTGCTTAATGCTGTCTGGTTTCTTAGCAGCAGCCCTAGAGTCCTCCCCATTTCCCTTTTCCTGCCTCCCTTCTTTTCTGTGTTCCTCCTGCCCAACCTAGTCTTCTCTTGGAGGCTTTTCTTGCTCACTCTGCCCCCTACTGGTGGAGCAGTGTCAGGGCGCCATCGGGGTGAGGGAGGGAAGGAGCCCTTGGTTTGTTCTTCTGTGGTTCCTGGCCCTCCTTCACCTTTGCTCCGTGTTGAGCCCATTTCCTTCCCAGAGCTGTGCTGCTGGCCTGGCCTTGCCCCACTCTGAGACCCCCCCCCCTCATTCTGCCTTCGGCTCCTAGTTCACTCTGCAGACCTGACTTCTATGGTTTTTGTATGTCAGCTTTGCCGCTGTTCTTTTATGCCCAGAATTGGGCTTTGGCTGACAGAAGGTTCTACAGAGTCTCAGTAATTCTTTCAGTCCATGTTCCCCTCCCAGGGCAGCCTGTTATTCCCTTCTCCTCCCCCAGAGGCTGGATTCTCCACTGAGGGCCTGTGGCCGTGGCCGTCTCGGGAACTACCGGCGACAGATGAGCGCTCAAGCCCTCACACGTCTGTCTTTGTTTTGTTTCAGTTTCACGGAGTTTTTGGACCCATTCCAGAGAGTCATCCAGCCGGAAGAGATCTGGCTCTACAAAAATCCTTTGGTGCAGTCCGACAACATACCTACCCGCCTCATGTTTGTAAGTACCGTGATTTCATGGCTGATTTGACCAGTCTCCCAAGTATGAACCAAATGGGTTTCCGTTTCTGCTCTTCTGTCCCCTGCTGAAGACCGTGAGCTGTCCAGAAGAAAGAGGAGGGCAGCAGCCCATCACATGAAACTCAGTTCCAGATCATGACGGACGCTCCTTGGTCATGTGAGAACGGGTAATCGACCTGCCACTTTGGAAAGAGAAGGGACCCGCTTACCTGAGCTGGGCCGAGTTGTTTCCCAAGTATTTACAGTAAAACAAGACCAGAAACCGATTTCCCTGCTCCATCTCTTTCTAGGATAAAACTCGATTTTACCAGACTCGGGCACCATAGAGGGTCCTGTGAATGGCTCTTCTGGTTCTAGCTGGTCAGGCAACCACGGATGAGACTGCCTTGTATGACTCAGTCCCAGGATAGTGTTTTGTGTCTTTCTGCCTCTAGAGTAAATGGGCCGGCATCCAGAGAGCTGGTGGATATAATGGCCTTACTTTTACCTCTTCACCTTGACCCCCCCATGGCAATCAAGGCCTTGTATATTTCATTTCCGATGTGCCAGACCCTTTGCTGAGAGCTTGAGAAAGAAGATTATCTCATTGAATCCCACCCAGCATTCGGTGAGAAAGTGGTTAGTCTTGTCCGCATTTGCAGGTGCAGAATTGCATCCCAGAGAAAGGAGGGAACATGCCCAGATCCACACAGCTAGTGAGTGCCAGAGCCAGGATTCAGATCCAAGCAGCCACCTCTGAGCCCGGTCTCAGCCATGAGGCTGCCTTGTAGGGTAGGAGCCCAGTGTCCAGGACTCCTTGCGGATGCTGATTGCCTCCTAGGGAATTGCCATCAGGCCTTTCTGTAGCAGAGGAAATATTTAAGCTCCTCTTTGTTACAGAACAGTAATGCGACTTTTGGTTGGCCAGCCTTCTGGCGTGAAGTTTATCCCTGCCATTGTGTCTCGTGCCTCTGGGAACGTAAGTGATGGGGCCAGAGATTTCTTAGGGCACACGAGGAATCTTTTGACATTTTGAAAGAAATCCCTCCAATGTTATGTAAGGAAATCTTATTAATTAGTGATGATTAGAAGGATCTTTGTGTCTGCAAACATCCTGAAATGCCCAGAACATTACATCAGCTTTGAAGTAGTATTTTGATTACTCTTTTCAAAAATTTTTTTATTAAAAAAAATTTTTTTTAGATTTTATTTATTTATTTGATAGAGATCACAAGTAGGCAGAGAGGCAGGCAGAGAGAGAGCGGGGGGATGCAGGCTCCCTGCTGAGCAGAGAGCCTGATGCGGGGCTTGATCCCAGGACCCTGAGATCATGACCTGAGCTGAAGGCAGAGACTTTAACCCACTGAGCCACCCAGGTGCCCTTTAATTACTCTTTAATAATTGCTTTTCCACTGGAAACTAAACTGGGATTTTGTAAATTTCAGGGAAATTGAAGAGTTCAGGCATTACCTAACACTTGAGTATGAAAATTAGACTTTTTCCATTTCTTTTTTTTTTTTTTTAAGATTTTACTTATTTATTTGACAGAGAGAGAGAGATCACAAGTAGGCAGAGAGACAGGCAGAGAGAGAGAGAGGGGGATGCAGGCTCCCTGCTGAGCAGAGAGCCTGATGCGGGGCTCCATCCCAGGACACTAAGATCATGACCTGAGCCGAAGGCAGCGGCTCAATCCACTGAGCCACCCAGGCGCCCGACATTTTCCATTTCTGCTCCAACTCAAATCTCCTATAAATCCTAGACATAAAGGAATTTGTGTATGTCTAACTAGTTTACTCTATGGTTTTGAAAGGGGGAAGCTCCTATTTACCACTTATCCACATTCCTCCCAGATTTCACATTTTATGTGCTATGAAACACAATTTGGAGATGAGTGTTCATGTGGGATATGGTGAGAAATTTATGCCTGTGTCCTAGATTTATAAACAATGGATTGTTTTGAAGTCTAGATACCAATTCCACAAAAATTCTGGCTGCAGACACAAGTAGGAGGGGGCGCATTTGCATGTTGGCAATGGAGGACCCAAGGCAGTAAAGGAGTTATTCAGTGCTGTGATTCTCAGAGAATAGAAGTGTATTCAGCCTCAAATCCTGATTCCTACCCTCGAGTCCCCTAATGAGATAAGTTCAACCTTTTGTTTTGTTAATAGTAGTTGATGCATTTCATTCATTGGGTCACAAGATTTAATGTGATTCCATTATAACCCAAGGAAAGCAGTAGATACGTTTATAATACATGTAACACAAAGAGGAAAAATACTTTGTTATTGCATTAATTAGATTTTTTTTCTCCTAGATTTTAGTAAAAGTTTAATATAAAATATAATTTGTTTGCTTTGATCCTTTAAAGCCTTCAGATATTTATGGAAGACTGTAATAAAACATGTTTTTATAATTTTTTTAATAACTATGTTGGTTTCATTAGAAAGCTCAAGTTTTGCTACTTAATAATAAAAAAAAGTCCTGGGGTTTCTTACTTTTGGTTGGAATGTTTTAATTTAAAGGCAACATTTTTAACTTTTTAACCAAAGTGTTACTGGAAGACAGCTCATAATAATCCAGATGTCTTTTGATTGGGAAATTAGGCCTCTGGAGGGGTGTGTGTGTGTGTGTACATGTGTGCATTTTAGAGGAGCTGCTTGTTCAGATCACAGTGGTCAGGGATTGAGTTAAGCAGAGTGAATGGTGATCATATCACCCAGAAGCCCCTTCATTTGTTCTGTCTTTGGCACTTTGAGTGAAGATGACGATGTCTGACAGCCTGGAAATTGAATGTAGTTGGGTTGTTTGATTCTGAGAGTTTGTTTCTCATGATGACTCTGGGTTCCTGCTGAGCAGAGAGACAGGCTGAGATTTCTTTTCACATATACTGAGTCTTGAATTAGCATTTCCTGGGTGTTTACAGACCATTAGCTGTCTTTATGGTAGGCTGCTCCCTTATTCAAAAGATGTCATGGTTCCTTCCTGAGTGTGTGGCATTTATCATATCATGTTTGGAAATCTTCTTTGTGGTGTAGGAAGACTTTGTGCTGGATTTTGCTTTTTAGTATACTTTTTGTTGCTGTCTTAGTTGTTGTGTCTTTGTACATTCAGGGAACACTTCCAGGAACCTACTGTGGGTAAGGAAAGCCATAGGAGTTTCAGGTGATGGGAAGTCAAATGAGAACTCGGAATGGGGGGTTTCTTTAGGGATATCCTTAGAGGGTATCCTGGGGGAGATTGCACTCTAAAGAAAAACAGAATTTAGAAAGGGCTAGAGGCTCAGGCAAACTTGTAGGGAGCCTCATCATCACGCTTACCCATATCATCACCACCATCATCACCACCATCACTACTATCATCATTATCATCACCGTCATCTACCACCATCATCACCACTACCATCACCCCATCATCACTATCACTGTCATCACCATCACCATCACCATCATTACCTCATCACCATCATCATCACTATCACCCCATCATCACTACCATCATCACCATCAACATCATCACCATCACCCCATCATCACCACCATCACCTCATCATCACCACCACCATCATCACCATCACCACCACCATCATCACCATCACCATCACCACCATTATCATCATCATTGTCATCACCATCACCCCATCATCACCACCACCATCATCACCATCACCACCATCATCACCATCACCACCATCATCACCATCACCACCATCATCGCCATTACCATCTTTATCACTACCACCACCATCATCACCACTACCATCATCACCACCACCACCACCATCATCATCATCATCATGGCAGTAATAACAACATCTAACATCTCTTGAATACAGGAATTGTGCTTGCCACTTTGCAGTGGCATCTCAGATAATCTTCTCACCATCTGTTGAGGTCAGCACTTTTGTAATCCCATAATTTCAATGGAGAAAATGAAACTGCAGTGAGATTTAGCAATTTGTCCAAGTTTATACAGTCACACAGATCTGAATGCCAGCTGCCTGAGGGCAGACCCTCACAGACCCATTCAGCTGTGATGTCTCCGTGAGGACTCAGGGGATGTGGAGAGGTGGTGAGTAGCAGACTGCACATAGAAGAGCTGGTGTGTAAAGGCACAGACATGGGAGAGCAGGGGCCATGTGGGTTCAGTGAACAGGAGTGTGTTTAGTGCATCTGTGTGTAAAGGGGACAGAGGAAGGCAGGGATAGAAGCAGACTCTGGACAGCTTCAGGTCAGTTAATTATTACTTAATTCGACCGACAGTTACAAAGCACCTGCCTGAGCCAAGCATGGTGCTGGGTGCTGGAGGAGCACTGCTGAACATTAGACGGTTCCTTGTCTCATGGGGGACACAGACGTGATTTTGGATGGTCACAGCCAAGCTCGGGAACAGGTGAACTCAGGTAATGAGTTGAAGGAATGATCAGTGTTCCCAGTTGCTCTCCTTGGCTTAAAAAATCAAGTCTACCCAAGACCTGTCCTTTGTCCTGGCCACAGTGGGTCCAGAAGATTTACTTCTGTAGGATGTTACTGACATCGTGTTGATATGATAACAGGGTTTCCTATTTTAGTAGAGGATGCTTCTGAGGAAGACGGAAAGTCAATTTTGCAGGGAGGAGGAAAGGAAAAGAGACAAAGCTGGCTCGTGATAGACAGTTTAATTTTTAGACTTTTTGGTTAAGTCTTAGACAGCTCTTTTCTCTGCAATGGGCTGTCATTGTTTACCCACAGCAGGCCCTTTCAGCTGTCTGCACTGCTTGTCCTGAGTTGTCTCTATAAGCACTTTTCAGCACACCTTTCTGTCAAAAGCCAGAAATTAAGGCACTTTGCACCCATTGTTTGATATGAATGAATCCCAGTGACAAGCTCTTCTCCAGCAAACATCCTAACATCAGGGCACTCTGGCTTTGACCCCTTTGGTTGTTAAAAGTTCTTGATATACTTATGCCACTCCCACTTCAGATGTGCTAGTCCAGCTTTGTCATTTTCCAGAAGTATCTTAGCC